ATATATATATATATATATGATATATATAATGAATAATGATAATATAATAAAAATAAAATAAAATAATTCTATATCTGTTTTTTCATTTAATTCAAACTTTAATATGTAACTTAATAAATAAACTTTAACATTTTTGCATATCAATTTTTATATTTGTTTTGATCTCTAGAATTGATTTTCCAAAGATCTTATGAATATATTCTATATAATTTATGCATACTAAATAGTTGATGATTCTAATTTTACAAAAAGAAATATTTAATTAAAAAAATATAGATAATTTAATACAAAAATTAATACAATACTTATTTTAAAAAAAATACAATAGTGTAATTATATTATGTCGGTGAATTTGTGCTTAAATATAATAATTTACAAGTTATATTTTTTTTATTTTTTGTTAGATTTACATAATATACTTTAACAACACATCAAATACAAAATTTATTTTAATGTTATATATGTTATTCTTAATTGTAACTTAAATTAAAAATCATTAATTCAATACAACCTTTTTTACATTCATAATATATATTGTCAGATATGAAGTATTTAACAAGATATATTCTTTGACATATAATCAAAAATATATGTGAAATATGGTATAATCATATCTATACAAAAATGATAACATTTTTAAGATATGATTTTTTATCAGAAACATTATACCGTTTAAAAAACATATTTAAATAGTTTTAAACATAGTTTTAATAACAAATTTTTTGATTTATCTAATTGTATATATTTTATAGTAAACCAAAATATTATTTAGCTTAAAATGTTACATTAGAACTGTTTGATAACTTAAAAATACATAGAGAATATAATGATAATAATGACACTATTAATGCGAGGAAGTATTTTATGTATATGTTAACAAATACATAATTACACGAAGTGCAGTGAGTATAAAAAAGGCAGTCGTTTTAAACTCACATCTTAATAATGAATCGTATTAAACAATTATTGAAAATGTTTGCGTTTGTTTGTATGTATGTATGTGTGTTCAAACATTGTTTGTACACTTACAAAATTTGTACCATAGAATTACGATCTATTATGAGCGTCCTAAAAATATATGGAATTATATTACAAGTAATAGCACAAATTAGTATATATTGCATAAATAGTTTAAAATAAAATAACTAAATCGTCAAATCTTACAAAATTTGTTATCACGGAATTAAACTATTTCATGTATTATATATAGTAAGTAATAAATTCATATTTACAGTATATTATATTTTTAAACATTCACCCCTCAACTTAGTATTTCACATTTTACAAAGAATTATCAATTTCTTGTCTTTTCTTACATATGTTTTCACATATGTAAATACGATTTGTATAAAAAGAGATTTGTTATTTAAATAGAACAGTCTATTTATTTGTCGTCCAACCACGCCAAATGGAAGCTATACTAGCTGCTGCACTTGTAACTAAACCTCCAGCAACACTTTGATTCACTTGCATACTAGATGATTGTTGACTAATCATTGCACCAGGGATGGGAACTACCATTTCAGGACAAGCAACATTTGGAACCTAATAAAAATAAAATATTTATATAATATAGTTAAAATACTATATTATATAATAATCATTAATAAGTAAATAAAATAAAACTCACAGCTTCCCAATCCCAATTAAAAGTATCTTCTTCTTCATCAGAAGCAGAATCATCACTATTTTCTAAATCGGGAACTAATTGACTGTGCAATTTTGCTACAATATTTGAATCTACTTCCATTGGACCAATTCTATTTCAATATATAAAATATATTGTTATATGTATGTTATTGTTACAACAATAATAAATAAATATATACCTTCCAAGATCACTAATTTCTGTATTGAGCAAGTGCATTAAGTTTTGTAAAGTATGCATTGGATGTAGAACTGCAATTTTAGTATTTTGTGTAAAACATAAATGTAATACATTACTATTGAGCCTTGCTACCTTTTTGGCAAATTTTTGATCTGACATTTCATTTCCACAAAATTCTCTAGAAATGTTTAAAAATTAAATTTTTATAAATAATTATTTTATTTCAATATTTAATGCATTTGCATAAAAAAAAATGAAATATTTTTCACATACCCATAAGCAAGCTTATATGGTAATCTTACATTAACGTAATAAGCAATAATATTAACCAACTGTGTTGCATATGTTAAAGCAGCACTGATATTGTATGCTGGATTGTGCATTGCAGTCTCTTTATTTGCACCTGGGACTCCATCTTTGTTTGCTGCCACTAAAAAGTATGCTTGATATTTATATAAATCATATAATTCATTAAAAAAAAATATGAATCAAATAATTTATATACCCCATAAAGAATAAGCACTATAATCTCCGCTTCCTGGTAAAGTTGGTGCAATTATACGATGCTGAACTTCTAAAGCATTTTCTGTATCATTAATCCATCTACCTCTAACATATGATGTTCCAGATGCATCTGCCAGTGCACAAGTCACATCTGAACTAGTATCTTCCTCACTACTACATAAACTAAAAACAAATAAAAAATATTTTTTAATAAATATTTTAATATTCTATAAATACTACTAATTTTTTAATATTTAATATTTTTTAATTTTTTAAAGATAATTAATTATTACCTTCTATTAGGTTGCACTTTGGATAATGGAAAAATATATTGAATCAATTGTTTTGCAGCAGTTCTAATAACTTTTTTCAACTGCTGCCTTTTTCTATCTACTGCTTCTTTTTGTTTTTCTTGTTTTGCTCTTAAACCAGTTACATATCGATGTAGTTTTTCAATTCGTTCTTCATGTCTAGGTAATCTAAGAGCTAACTGAGAGTTTACATCTTTCAGAACATTTAAACGTTGATTACCTATACATTATTAAATTTCTTTAAATGTACCTATTTTCTAAATATTAAAAATATTAATAGAAATATACCTCTGTTTATACTTTGCCTTGTTTCATTTACTAATGATTGAAGTAGTCTAACTCTCTCTTTGCAAGTATTTATATCACATATCTACAATTCAAAACATAATTAAATATAATAATGATATAAAAATTTATATATCATTTTTTAACAATTATTAAATTTAAAGTATTAAATATAAAATAAAAATATAAAATACCAATTTATCCCTTTGTTTATATTTTTCAAGAGCTTTTACACATTTTTCTTCTAATTGAGCTCTGGCAGCTTTCAACCGTAAAAGTCGCAATTGTTTATCTGCAAATCTATTCAGATATAATATAATCAGATATAAATCAGAATAAAATATAATTTTTTATTGATTACTTATTAATATGAGATATTTTAACAATTTTCACAACAAATTTTCTTTTATGATTTAATAAGAATAAAAATTATATTGCATTTAACAAAATTATAAAAAATATTTAAAGAATATTTGACGACAAATAAAATTTTAATACATAAAAATAAATGGTCATTAAACACCTAAATTATAAGTATCTATTTACCGTTCAGAATAAACAGAAGTTGAATGAATAAAATCTCCATTTTGAATACACTGACGACAATAAAAAATTCGACGACTATTATGGCACAGTGGGCACTTCAATAGATTCACGCTTAAACGATTCGAAACGTCTTCCAATTCTGACGAAAGCTGAAAATCTGCAGGTGCTGTACAGGACCCATCAGAACTGCTTGTCGCCATAACCAAGACCAAGAACAATAAGCTTTCGTTTGTCTGTTGTCACTCATCAGCTGATCTGCTATTTACTTATAATCTCCCGCCACTTTCTATATGATATTGTTTTCATCGCATATCTGTACTTTTATATTTATTCATATTACATACATAAAATCTAACTTCACCCAAAATTTCTTATAATTCGATGAATAATTCTTAAATTATAGAAAAAACAAACTTAAATCTCTACTTACGTATCTTATAGCTGTACCGTGACAGCAATCACGTTGAAAAAATCCCGTTATGCTATAAGATAAAGAGAGAAAGAGGCAAAAATTGAACATATAAATTTTAGAAAGATTTGTAAGTATAATTAAAACGATAAAGAGCATAAAAATTAATTTAAATAATATTAAAATTTTATTTATTTCAAAATATATGAAAATCATTAATAAAAAATAAGTTATTTATATTATATTTATTTATTTATTTATTCAAATTATATATTTTATGTTGATTTTTAATTATTAATTATATTTACTATAATATGTATATTTTTTTTATAATTTATACATTTACAATTATACAATTATAAAATATTAATTATAACCACAGACTAGATATAGAAAAGATTTATCATCCAATATATTTTTGTGTCACATAATCCGGAGTTACACACATAGCATTTATTATTCTCTCATGCGATATTATCGATTTAGAATGAAAAATATAGAAAGATATGAAATAATAATATAAGCTATTATAAGAAAAAAATTATTGAATTGTAATAATTAATTATAATAATTTGACATAAAAATTATTAAGAAAATATCGATCTAGTAATACAAAAAGCATATTATTCTATATAAGAAAATGTTGACATTTATATATCTATCTATTTAAAAAAATTCATAATATCAAATACACTTTTCTTTAAAATATTTTTTAACTATTCAGTAGCATTCATATATAGTAATAAAATATTTTTGGATTATTTTATTTAATTCATTATGAAACTTGCTACATATATTTACTTATTCATATTTAAAAAAAAATACGAAAATATATATAAAATATGATTTTTTTTTCATTGAAAAAATCTTTTTGATTCATAAATCTATTAGAAATGTTATTTATTGTTACAATAAAATATAAAATAAAGAAAGCAAATAATGGGAAAAAAATTTTTTGAAAAAAATTTTTGTGCCATCTTTTTAAAAAAATGTACAAACTTGAAATATGTTGAGCATTCAAAAGATGACACAAGTCATTAATTTTATATCGTTATATATAATTTGTTTTTTTTTCTTTATATTAGTTTCATTTGTTAGAAATAGTACTAATTCGCATATTTTTATACTATTTCTGTTTTGCATTATACTCTATATGCTTATACTATGTAAATTGTAACAAATTTAAACCTGTGATAGCTGATACATCAAAAATATCAATTTTTTTAATAACATAATATATATTCGTATTTTTATATGTCATATAATTTATAGAACATATTTTTGTATTTCTATATATATATATATATATATTTTAATTTTTTTTCTGCAGTTTTCAAAAATATATTTTAAAAAGTTAAGTATACAAAAACTAAATATATAGGAGATTAGTATATTATTTCATAATATAATTTTCATAATTAGAATTTATTAAAATCTTGAAAAACGAGAAATGACATATTCTTACCAATAAGTTAACTTAAAGAATAAATATATATAAAAAATAAATACATTAAATTTCACAAAAATTTTCATATCTATATCTTCTAAATTTACTATGTGCATATTTCTTGCAATAAGAATTATTTTATTGTAAATGTGAAATATTTTTCGATAATTTTTTTAATTTTAAAGAATTTAAATATACTGGTATAGTTGTTTATATGACTTGCTTTGTACAATCGTTTTTTTGTAGAATCTGTGATTCTATACTAGCTGTATTATATACCCATAGTTATATTATCTATTTATGTATAATATATATAGTATATATCCATAATACCCATATAATAACTCATTTCAATTATTGTTAATAATAAGCATTAATTAAGTTTTGTAAAATTAAGTTTGAATTCCAATCCAATAACGTTGCATGTGACACGAAAATGACAAAAAAATAAGATAGATTTAAAATTCATAACACGAAAAAATATTATTTTTTGTATCTCATCTGTGCCATACAATAATAAAAAAAATTCATATTATATTATTTTATATTTTATCTATTCTATTTCTAAGTCATATAACATTAACATTATTTATTTTTCTTTATTAGAAAATACCGGGATATTATCTAAAATTCTATTGTACCATTTGTTGATCATTTTTTAAATTTAAAGAAAATTTAAAGAAACATTTTAAAATGTTTTGTTTCAAATACTTTAAGTAATTAAAAATAAATAAACTAAAACGATATAAATATCTTTTAAAAAATATTTGTAATTTTCTAGAAATCATAAACTTAATTTTAGTTGATTAAAAATCAAAGGAGTATAATTATAAATAATAGGTTAAATTGTAAATATGTTTTGTAATTAAAAAATAAATTAAATGAATTGAAGATATATATATTATTTATATATATTTTAATAAGTGAGGAGAAAAGATAAAAACAATGACATCAATTATAAAACTTCATGCTGTTTCTGGAGCTATGGATGAATCTCCTCCTTGTTATATATTGCAAGTTGATGAATTAAGAATATTACTTGATTGTGGATGGGATGAAAATTTTGATCAAGAATTTATAAGAGAATTAAAACGGTAGATAATATGATATTTTAAAAATTATAAAGTAAGTAAAATAAGAAATTTAAGAATAATAGTAACATAATATTATTCTTTTAGTCATGTTCATCAAATAGATGCAGTTCTCTTATCATATCCAGACCCATTACATTTGGGTGCTTTACCATATTTAGTTGGAAAATGTGGTTTAAATTGTCCTATATATGCTACTATCCCTGTATATAAAATGGGACAAATGTTTATGTATGATATGTATCAGGTATTCTTGATGAAAAAAATTTTAATCAAATTTCAATACTTTTTATTGTTTTTATAATTTCATCAAAATAAATTACACAGAATAAATATTTATATATTTTTGTAGTCCCGTCATAATATGGAAGATTTTGATCTTTTTACACTTGATGATGTTGATGCAGCATTTGATAAAATAGTTCAACTAAAATATAATCAAAGTATTTCAATGAAGGGAAAAGGATATGGAGTTACTTTAACACCTTTACCAGCTGGTCATATGATTGGAGGTACTATTTGGAAAATTGTGAAAGTTGGTGAAGAAGATATAATATATGCTGTAGATTTTAATCATAAAAAAGAACGACATTTAAATGGTTGTGAATTAGAACGATTACAAAGACCATCTTTATTAATAACAGATGCTTTCAATGCTACATATCAACAAGCAAGACGTAGAACCAGAGATGAGAAGTTAATGAGTATGAAAATAAATTTTGTTTATAATTCTATTAATAATATTTTATAATATTATATTACTTGATATTTAATAATATTTTATAGCAAATATTTTACAAACTCTACGTGGAGGTGGAAATGTTTTGGTTAGTGTAGACACAGCTGGTCGTGTATTGGAATTAGCTCATATGTTAGATCAATTATGGCGCAATAAAGAATCTGGTTTACTTGCATATTCTTTAGCTCTTTTAAACAATGTTAGTTATAATGTTGTTGAATTTGCTAAATCACAAATAGAATGGATGAGTGATAAATTAATGAGAAGTTTTGAAGGAGCTAGAAATAATCCATTTCAATTCAAACATTTACAATTATGTCATAGTATGGCAGAATTAAATCAAGTTCCTAGTCCAAAGGTTAGAATATTTATTATAAAATTATTAATTTATATAAATATTAATAAATAATATAAATGAAAATAGATTTATATGTGAATTCAAGGTTGTACTTGCAAGCACTCCAGATATGGAATGTGGTTTTTCAAGAGAATTATTTTTACAATGGTGTGGTAATCCCCAAAATAGTATTATATTAACTAGTAGGACATCACCAGGAACACTTGCAAGAGATTTAGTAGAAAAGGGAGGTAATAGAAATATTACATTGGAGGTAAAACGGAGAATAAAATTAGAAGGACTTGAGTTGGAAGAATATCAAAGAAAAGAAAAATTAAAACAAGAACAATTGAAACAAGAACAAATGTATATAATTATAATATATTATATTATAATATAGAAATTGATATTTTCATAGATACTATTTCTTATTTAAATACTTATTATATTTCAGGGAGACTGCTGATATAAGTTCTGAATCAGAAGATGAAATAGAAGTTGGTGGAGGAAGAGGAAAACATGATTTGTTAGTGAAACAAGAAAGTAAACCAGGTTTTTTTAAACAAAGTAAAAAACAACATCCTATGTTTCCATTTGTAGAAGAAAAAATTAAAATTGATGAATATGGAGAAATTATAAGGTATTTATTGTATACATTTATAATATTTTAAATTAATGATAATAATGTATAATTTTTTTAAATATTTAATTTGTATATAGACCAGAAGATTATAAAATAGCAGAAACTATGCCAGAAGTAGATGACAATAAAGAAAATCTGGAAACAAAGCAAGAAGATACTGCTCATCATCCAGAAATACCTACTGATATTCCAACCAAATGTATTCAAGTTACACGTACAATGACAGTTAATGCCTCTGTTACATATATAGATTTTGAAGGTAGATCTGATGGAGAATCATTACAGAAAATTTTGGCACAATTAAGACCAAGAAGAGTTGTACTAGTTAGAGGATCACAAAGAGATACTGAAATTCTCGCTCAACAAGCACAAAGTGCAGGTGCACGTGTATTTATTCCAGGAAGAGGAGAAACATTAGATGCTACAACAGAAACGCATATATACCAAGTAATATTTAGTTTATCTTAATTTAATCTTTATATAAATGCATATATATATATATACATATATAATATATTTATTAAAATTATAATATAAAAAATTATAATATAATAAAATATAAATTATAATTTTATATTTAATTAGGTTCGTTTAACTGATGCACTTGTTAGTGGTTTAAATTTTTCAAAAGGAAAGGGTGATTCTGAAGTAGCATGGGTTGATGCAATGATAACTGCACGTGATCAGATATGTCGAGATGC